GCGCTGGCCACCATCAGCAACATCGCCGGCCGTGTAGCTTCCTCCCTCTCTCCCATACTGGTGACAACACCAGCCTGACTTGGTCGAATCCTTCTGCCAAACCACTGAGAGTGCCATTGCAGACTGCTTCGATGCCACCCAGTCTGGCCGGCCTGACTCCATTGCCTTTGCCACTTCTAGCACCCTCTTTGCCACTTCTGCCTGGTCACGAGCGGAATCATCACTGTCATTCTCTGCAGCACTACTCTGGTGGATGGGATGCTGATGATATGATGCAGACAAACACTAATGCCGCAACTACCACTTCTCAAACAGCAACCTTTATAACAAATGGATCAACCTGCACAGTTCGCCGCCCCCAGGCCGTTCTGAATCGATTCTATTCTTCTGGCATGGCAGATGCCTTCCACGATGCCTATTCGTGCGGGCGTATGACAGCCCACTTGGACTGGTCTCGTGCATGGTCTTTGGTAGGATCACCATATCCGTTGCCCTTGCCGCCTCCATACGGGAGCTACACTGCTCCGCTGGGTGCTTGGCTCGTGGAGCCTCTGCTAATAACTGGAGCCGCCTCCTCACAGGTATACACTGGTTGTTGGCCGCCCTACGGCAGCCGATCAAGCTTAGTGTTGGTTCTGGCCGGTGAAGTGATTCGTTTACGTGGAGCTAACCTTGATTGCGCGCACCATTTTCCACTGCTATTGCTGTGTACTCTGCTTGGTTAGTAAGCCAAATTTCTGATCAAATTTATTTGAGGTTGCAAAATCAATCTCATTCTTGTTTGGCACGGCCCTTATAAAAAATAGTGGTTGTTTGACCTTGTTTTCGCAACTTGGTCATACTGGCAGGAAGACCTGGAGGAACGCACCTTGTCCTGAGTGCATAGTATGCATAATAATTTCCAAAGTCGGACCGTGGACTTGGTACATTCCCAAACGTTTCGCAGGCATCGTTAGTGATGTATTAGAATAAGGTTGCCCAATATACAATAAAGGCACTATAGCCATATTTGGAATTATCATGCATACTATGAACTCCAGATAAGATGCGTTCCTCTAAGTCTTCCTGTCAATATGACCAAGTGGCGAAAACAAGTTCAAACAACTATTATACATCGGCAGGAGACTGCGACCAAAATAGAGGCCACAACATCTTGGTCTTCATATCTACTTATAAATAATAATCTATTATACATGAGGATGCCTTATTAACAACCATGTGATTGTATCTGTTTACAAAGTTATATTGTTTTCTGTCCACTACAACTGTCGCTCCTCTTTGTTTATCTGAAGGACCAATTGTTTATTCCCTTTTAGGGTTCTTCGTATCCTCGTTAATCTGTTCTTGTGCATTCCTTCATAATATGTCAAGATT